TTAGGGTTTAGGGTGGGTTTCTTTAACGGGTTCCTTTTAAGGGCTACTAGGGTGTAATGTAGGGGCCTTATTAGTTGGAATAGGGTTTCTGTAACGGGTTCCTTTTAAGGGCTACTAGGGTTTAATGTAGGGGCCTCATGTAGGGGCCTAAATAATCAGAATAGGGTTTTGGTGCCCACTAATTATGCTATAATTATCATAAGGAACCCGCAAGATAGTATTCGTAATTATTTAGGCTCCTACGGCATGGGTTTAGGGTTTAGGGTTTGGGGGTTTAGGGGTTTAGGAGTTCAGGGGCTGAAGGGTTTAGCGGTTTAGGGCTTTAGGGGGTTCCTTTAAGGAACAGGTCCCAAATAAAGCATTAACGTATGGTACTCCAGAATGCCGGGAGCTTAGGGTGTCAGATTGAACCAATGGCTCTTACGGCTGATTGTTCAGGGATATTACAAGGCCTGGGATTTAGCTTGATTTAGGTCCTAAACCCTCAACCCTAAACCCTAAACCCTCAACCCTAAACCCTAAATCCTTTAAGTTTTTAGGTCCAAAGCTCTGGCTGCAGGAGTTCGGGCTTCGGGGTCGGAACAAGGGTTTCGAGCTCGGTTCGAGGGAGCAAGCCTGCGGAGAGTCTGGGCTTGATCTTTCTTGTTTTTTAAGTTGGGCGTGGGGTTTAGGGTTTAGGAGTTTAGGGATGGTTGAGGCTTTCTACATCTCTGAGGTTTGGGACTTCCTGGGCTTGAAGAGACTACATGCGCGCTGGTTGAAGTTTAGGTTTTAGATGGTATGACTACGGTATGAGGCTGCATAGAGAGCAGTATAAATACATACACGTGTCTAAACAAGCAGCAGTGAAGGTTTATGATGTACTTGTACTATGCACGACAACAATCTATTTGATGCAAATTGAACGAGAAGCACCTGAACACAACCAACGTCAACATCACGTGCTGTATGCATCTAAGGTCAGGGAGCTGCAAATGTGTGGGCGTGCATTGAATATAGAAAATGCATGCATACATACATACATGCATACATACAGAAATACAAACACACATACCTAGATGGATACATGAAAAGACTGAAATGCATACATACATAGGTGTCGGTCTTAGCGCGGCGCAACAGTACACAGGCCTTAGACTATGCCGACATGAGCAAACCAGCCTTACATACATAATCAACCAGGTAGATAGCTACAAAGATACTCTGCCAAGTAGTTCGATGCATAGAACCCTATACCCTCAACCCTAAAACCCTAAACTCCCTATGCCTTAAAGCCGAAACCCGGGAGCGCCACCTCCAGGACCTGAATGGTCGTACCAGCAGTGAGCTTTCCGACTGTGTCGCCGCCCACCGAGGCCCTCTCCGTGGAATGCTTAGCAGCTTAGACTTAAAAGCTTAGGGTTCAGGGGCCAGGGTTGAGGGTTTAGCGTTTAGGGCTACGGGAGTTTAGCATGTAGAGCTCTTGAAGATTTCGTATCGGATTGAGGGTATAGCTAAGGTCTGCGGATTCGGAGTTGCCGATAAACCAACGGCGGCCAGCGGGTTTATATGCTGTAGCACTTGTAAACGGCATCCGGTACATACTGCAGCACGACTTGCAATAAGTTAGCGGCTTAAGGGCGAAGCACGGTGACAACAAACAGGAGGCGCTGAGACTTTCAGGCCTGCCTCGTGCTCCAAACCCTCAGCTCTCATGCTAGGAGATGCGAGCACAAGGATTCAGCAGCTAGGGTCCACCTATCCGTCCCAGAGCAGCACAACATGGCATCGGAAATCCTGTCAGCCTCGAAGCTACTGAAGGCTGAACACAGAGTAGCAAGTACAACATAACACAATATTTACCTACGGACATACATACATACAAACATACACACATACAATATACATATAAGAGCAAACAACTACCTATACGCACACAAGGCAGGGTCTCCGCCTATTCTTCGTCACCTCGAGGCGCTCGTGGATGACCGCGTAGGCCCCAGGGGTATCGTCCTGCAAAGCGTATTCAAGCGCCTCTTGGCTTCGAGATGAAGGCAAGACCCCAACATAAACCCTAAACCCTAAACCTTTAAACCCTAAACCGCCAGACACCAAACCCAAAACATGTGCGGGTTTTAGGCTCTGGGCATCGGCCTTGGGGATTCATGATAGAGGGCTGAGGACCCGGTAAAAGAGGTATGATGATTTGTAACCTGACACAAATTGCGATGCTGTAATCATGCAATGCAAATCAGAAGAGTATGTTCGAATACAGTTTGCATCCGGAACCTCCTCCACAGTGTACTTCTCACACATCTTTCCGAATCCGGGCTTGTGATCGAAGACCTGAGCATCTTGGACCAAAGGGTCCGTTTTACAGCGTGTTCAGTCATGAGAGCAGTTCGGGTGTAGGCCTGTGGAGTTTAGAGGTCCAGCGATTTGGGGACTGTAGGGTTTGGAGTACTGATAAGTACTTATCATAAGGCCTCCCCTAACCCTAAACGACCCTAAACCCTAAACCCAGAACGCCAAACCTTGCAGAGGCCCTTCAGTCGGACATGGGATCAACAGGTGTTGGGTTGGGGCAGCTTCGAGGGTGACGAAGGTTGGTCTGGGAGTGGATACGCGTGCCGGGATGTAGTGTGCGTGTATATATATATATATACAAATAAAATACCACGGATATAATATATATATATATATATACATATGTATACACACATACGTGTATGTGTATATATATATATATACATACATATATGTATATATACATAGATGTATAGATATAGAATAATATCAACATAAAGATAAGAAAGAAATAAACATGCACATGCGTGTGTGTATATATATATATATACTTATTTATACACGTGCCCCGGCCCCCTCCCCTCAAGATCTACCGCAGCCGTGGTTCTTGGGGGCGTGAGGTGCACTCCAAAATTTCCATCCCATAGAATCGATTGGAACCCGGGTCCTGGTTGCTACACATATGGGATTTTCCGAATACAAGGGGTACCTTATTTGGGGTCCTTATAATAAGGATCCTACTGTTTGGGGTACTACATTAGGGTCCCCTATTTTCTGAAACCCCAACATATAGCCCCTTTGTATTTGTGGTACACCGTACCTCAAAAATACCAAGGCCCACATACTACCAGAACCCTCCACTCCGAAGAGAAGTGGGCACAGCTGGGTCAAGGAAAATGAGACGAATGCCGAGTACCCAGTCGAACGATCCTCAAACCTCCCGAGTGAAATGAGGCAGTACCGGAATTGCACGAATGTAAGTACGCAAACAGCCTTCAAGTTAGGGTTTAGGGTTTAGGGTTTATGGTTTAGGGTTTAGGGTTTAGGGTTCAAATCCGCTGAGACCGAATGCCCCCGGAGTCCTGACAAGCACCACCCAACTACAAATAGGCGAGGTCCAGGCCCAGCCGCGACCATCAGCGAGCTCCAGGTAAATCACCCCTTGCGGGCCTGACACAGGAACTCTGGGTGTTCGATCGTTGGGGCTCTTATGGCTCGTATGCAGGGGTTTGTTCTAAAAATATCCCGACACGCTGAACCTAAACCCTAAACCCTAAACCCTAAACTGTAAACCCTCAACCGTCTTAACCTATGCTCCATGAACAGCAGAAGAGAGACCTCCTTCAAAGAGCTGGAATTGATAAGGACCCGAACGGATGCCGTGAGCATGGCAGCTTTGCACGAGCAGTGCAAAGCATGGTTTTACGGCTCAGGGTTTAGGGTTTAGGGTTTAGGGTTCAGGGTTTAGGGTTTATAGGGTTTAGAGGATCAGGGTAAAGTGGTTTTGGGTTCCGGGTGTGAAGTTCGGGGTTTAGAGTGGAGGGTCCTAATTACTGGGGTTCAGGGTGGAAAGTTCGGGGTTCAGAGTTGAAATATACGGGCCTTAATGATTAGAATAGGGTTTTGGGCTCCTTTATAGTGTAATTATGGCAAGGAAACCCCTAAATAGTATAGGTAATTATTGAGGCCCATATACTAGTTACTATTCGTGGTCTATACCTGAAGCTCCCATGCAAAGACCCATAGACCTGGAGCAACCAGCTAAACCCCTAAACCCCTAAACCCCTAAGACGCTAAACCCCTTAAATCCCTAAAACCCTAAAACCCTGAAGCCCCACAACCCTGAACCCCTAAACCCCTAAACCCTGAACCCTAAAGCCCTAAAGCCCTAAACCCAGGAGCATCCCTAACCCCTGAACCCTCCACAGCCCCGAGGCCCAAATAACCCTAAGAAAGTGTTTAGAGTTTAGGGTTCAGGATTTAGGATTTAGGGTTTAGGGTTCAGGGTTCAGGATTTAAGGTTTAGGGTTTAGGGTTCAGGATTTAGGGTTTGGGGTTTAGGGTTCAGGATTTAGGGTTTATGGTTCGGGATGTAGAGTTTTTCAAAATGATTCGAGGGCTTTGCAGAATCATACCTCGTTGGTGTGTTGAGAATTGTGGCTTTCTTGCAGTATTACACCCTCTCGGGCACACATGGCTCAAACTACTCCGAACGACAGGGGCTTGAAGGGGCCTGGTGCTTAGGGTTTAGGGTAGTATATTATAATACATTAGTGTATTATGGTATCTTCGAGTATATCATAGTATATTATGGGCTATGAAATAACATGCTACATTCGATGCCTCGAAACCTCGACACGCGGCTAGGCATGATTGACCACATAAAACATTACATAAGACCCTTGGCTTTGACAACCGAGTGCACTACTGCCCTGCTGTCTTGCTGGTTGGAAACCAACGGAAGGCACCTAAACCCTAAACCCTAAACCCTAAACCGGATGTCAAGCCAACGCGCCTGGTTTCTCCTGACTCACACCTCGGCCGTCAAGAGATAGCGAACGAGGCGTGACTTGCTTACATGTCGTATGCCACACATGGCAGATGCTGCCTTTCTGAGACGGATCAGCTCAACTTGCGATCCGGAGGAGGCCTTCATGAACTCAAATCTGCGTGCACGAACGATACACCGACATTGACAGCCCCATCTGAAGATCATATCAACCCCAAGCGTGTCTTTGAGGTTCTACAGTTGCTCAACTGGCTATGCTAAGACTGCACATCCCCCAAACCCAGTACCCTTTAGCAGTTTCATTGTGAGCAATGGTATGAACCCCTTCGAAGACCAAACCTGAAACCCTCAAACCCTCAACCCCAAACCTTAGAACCTAAACCTCCAAATTAAACCCTAAATAACCCTCACCGAGGGGGAACTCTCGGCGTCCATCTTTGCCCCAGTAAAAGAGAGTTGAGCACGATGCGCGAACCCAAATTTGAGAAACGATGTCCTGTGTTGTGCTTAAAATCGTATTACTTGCATTATGCGTATTTCATTCTGTTAGACTGTATCACATGACTGCATATTAGGTTATTCAAAACATACTCTTTTCAATGCTATTACGGTATATTCACTTCTTTTCTTTTCTGTTCGATTATATCAGTTCGATCGGTCATGTCATATCGTTTTATCCCCATGTTAAAACATTTAGGTTCTAGCATGTTCTACTGATTCTACTGTATTATGTTGCACTAAGTCATGGTTATATTACATTGTACTAAGCGGCATTATTGCATGTCATGCTCTTTTTGGTTTAGCGCTAAAGAAGCTGGATCACAGTACATCTTAGCGCATGGCAGTGTGTTTTACTATCAGGTATTGCCGTTTGTACAATGCAAGATAATCTGTATTCGTTATATCTTCCCATTACATGGTGCTGTACTTGCGTTCACGGTGACATGTTGCAATGCTTGTAGTTGAAAACTGGTTTAATGTTGTAGCCCGTTATGTTGCTATGCCGGGTAATGCTATGTGATGCTCTGCTATGTTGGGTTCTGCTTTGTTATGGTAGGTTATTTGCTGATGTTGCTGTATGTCGTGCGTTTGCACTCTGTGTTTCGGATCATATTGAGTCACTAGGTTATGTGATATTAGACTCCACATCACTGTAGGATGTTGGGCGATGGTATGCTGTGTGCAAACTCATACCATTCACATTTATCCCTAGTAATTAGCATTCTAATCTGTTCTGATACATGATAAAAGTAGCATGATAGTTGTTGTACTAGACTGTAGAATACGGTGAACCAACACGACTTTCAACTATTTACCTTGGTAGCGTCGACAATTTGTATAGTATGGCTGGTACCCGAACATCTCTGTCGTCCTGAACTCCTGTGTACTATGCATCTTCTTCCCCTGGCGAAAAATTGCAAGATTGGCTTTTCAAGAGATGCAAGCTGAACTCACATCATCTGTTATACCGGAATCTAATTCAACTCTATTCAGTAAAAACATAACCTAATCCAACTTAACCCAATCCAAGATCATTGAATATCGTAACGTATAGTACTATCTTGCAATATATGTTAATATACCCTCAAACCCTAAACCCTAAACCCTAATCATACGGTATCAGATTGCATTGTCCCTACTCCACCGAGGCCAAGCTCCAGGCAAAAGATGTCGCCAGCACCCAAACAGTGCAAAGAGCGACCGCCATCGACGTTGGGCTCGGACCTCGTGCGGACAGGGTTTTCGGGTTTGGGGTTTTAGGGTTTAGGGGTTTTAGGGTTTGGGGTTTTAGGGTTCGGGTTTAGGGGTTAAGGTTTGGAGTTTTAGGGTTCGGGTTTACTAGGTTTAGGGTTTAGGGTTTAGGGTTTAGGGTTTGGGGATCTTTGTCCCGCTCGAGTCTGATGCCAGGGAGCAAGCATGTAGGCCGAGTGGAGTCTAAAGTCTTGACAGGACTTTACCAGGAGCCGATTTAAGCTTGATACTGTAGGAGCAATACTATTTTGGGGGTTCCTTATTATATAGTATACTGGGCCCCCAAAGCCTATTCTACTTATTAAGGCCCCACTATTGTTCCTGCTGGTTTTAGGCGGCGGAATCCGACCAAGCTCCATCGGGATGCAAAACCCTGAAGGCTCTGAGGGGCTGTCCGGATGTCCAAGTGGCGGCCATCCTGTGGACAGTAGCGCCACAAAGAGGCCTCGCGAGTGCACAGAGTTAGGGCCCCCAAAAAAGCACATAAGCAAAAATTAGCATCCGGATATCCCATATAAACCCCTTATAATAAAGCCCAATAAGGTAGGGATATCCCTATAAAAAGCTTATGCTTCTGTGATTTTTGTGTCCCTAAAGAGTGGTCATCATAAACACGGTTGTACCGTACATATCCCGGACATGCACGACCCCAGGATGCGTAAAGTATACATTGTCCCAGGACGCTAGTTCAAGTTTAAGCGACTTAGGGACTATGTAAAATAACCGCAAGCACATTTAAGCCGTGCAATCATAAACAATGCAATTCTGATTACGAGGGTACCTTAACTTAACCCCACCAACAGCACCAGCACCAGGAGGACCACCACATCAAGAACACCAGAACCAGCACCAGCACCAGCAGCAGCACCACCACATCATCAGCAACAGAACCAACACCAGTAACAGCACCACCACCCCACCACCACAAACAACGCACACCGGCAGAATCACTAACCACCACCAACCACCGCCATCACCATCAGCACCATTGCCACTGTACTGATGCTGCTGCTGCTACTACTACTACTACTACTGCTGCTACTACTACTACTACTGCCGCTAACTGCTACTACTGCTACTACTATTTTGATACTACCACTACCACTGACGCTACTACGACTACTATGACGACTAGGACTGCTACTTCGCCTACTACTGCCACTACCGCCGAGAGATTTGTGGAGTGGACTGATGGGAGGGAGAAGCGTACGACTGGAGGAAACCTTTTGCCCAAGTGAAGAAGCCCGGTCGAATTGTTGGCCAGGTTGACCGAAACCCCCCCTAAACCCTAAACCCTAAACCCTAAATCGTACCAGAGATGCTAGCTAGTTCTCACGATGGCAACCGTTTGCAGCCAGCCGCCTTGCGAGGTGCACCTCCCCATCCATAGCCTCCGAACCTCAGCATGCGATTGATGGAAACTTTGCAGACCTTCGTCAGTCTCCATTCTGCTACATCCAAGAGTACAGCACAAGAGTAGCAGTCACAATCCGTGTAATGTTATTGCTACGATAGTTCTTACTACTACCTTTGAGAATCGCTGCTGCTGACGATGATTACTGGTTCTACTGGCTGGTACCACTCGTAAGATCATTGTGAGTACAGCTAAAGAGCGGCTGCCCCGCCGGCTCTGTACTTGACGACTGAACGTTGAAAGCAGGAATACCAGTGCCTACTCATGGCAACACAGGTCAGGCAACACAGATCAAAGGTAAGGCACTGCAGTCCCTAGAAGTAGTAGAAATACCAGTGAAATTACCAGCTGAAAACATTGCATGAAAGCTAGGTTGGGGACATTCCCCAATCTCCTTGCCCCTGCCGCACGTCGGCCGTTGTCCCACCAGCCTGAGCTCCAAAGATCTTGAAGGGCACACTGACCAAGGAGTTGCGCTGTAAAGCAACACTTAGGGTTTGCAGTCCTTGCCTTACGAACCCCAATTCCCCAAATGTCAATGTCGTGCAATCAAAACTGAACCTCCATCACAGCTGTCGTTCAAGCCTGACAAGCCACGAAGTGCAGGTTTGCTCTACGCATGCAAGTTGCATACGATATTTCTCTCACTTCTTCCTCACGGCCAAAGAGCAAAGCAAGCGAACTGCCCCTGCGCGCGCATGCACACTGGTCTGAACTCACTCACTCACTCACTCACTCACTCACTCACTTACGTCTTCCCCTCTCTTCCTCTCTCTTTCCTCTGTCTCTCTTCCTTCTCTCTCTCTCTCTCTCTTTCCATATATATATATATATAAGTTTGTATATATATATATATGTATATGTATCATGTTCATGTATATGTACGTGCATACGCACGTATGTATGTATGTATGTATGTATGTATGTATGTATGTATGCATGCATGCATGCATGCATGTAAACTTGATTAATTGTACTATCCACGAAAAGGGAAAATAAAACAATATACCGTCATACAAATAGCACACTTGAATATAGCATAATGCAACTAGGATATGATATAATGTAACTTAGTACAATAATAGAACTGGACATCGTAGAACACTACAGCAGCTGAAATTATAATGTGGTAATTTATCTTGCACTGAATTCCCATATGAAATCAAGCCACACAATGTAATAGAAAGTTAAAGAAAGCACCATAATCGAATCATATTCTATTATGTATGTACATACTGTATGCACACAAACACACATGCACGTGAACCATTACACCAGTTATCGACAGACTGTCATGAGCGTTGACTCTAGCATGCTTTGACTCCAAAGGGATATGTCTGAGACATTACCGAAATAACCCACACATCACTGCACTGAACAGTTGAATTCATAAGGCAAAGATGTAGGAGCTACATGTCCGATTCCCTGGGCACGAGACGTTCCGAGATCGTCCATACCTCGTGAAGTCTCTGTGCCTGCACCCCGATAACCATAAACCCTCAGTGCGAAGCCGGGCTTGGAACGAAGGTGCCTGGCCATGCAAACGTTGGAATTGAGGGCTCGGCGAGAAAGTGTGGGAGGCGTGGCAAGAGGCTCATTGTGCTAAGGGGCTAGAGCTCGGACGCTTTGAGGTTTGGTTTTAGGGCGGGTTTTAGGGCAGGATACCTGGATCACGATCGTAGCTTTCGTGGCTAACGACTCCGAAGTTGTGCAGGCTCAATAAGCTCTGGTCTGAGGGGGTTCGGGGCTGGTTTAGGACGGGCTGCCTACTTCCTTTGAGTCGACGTCACGGGCCTCCTCTGTCCTCGACATCTGGCAGTAGGGGAGGGTATGTACGATTGTGTAGTAAACATACGGGGACTGTGGGTGGGGTATACGGTTCAACCTATCCAAATCAAACCCAAAGCCTTCTCAACCGCGAAATGCAGAAGGCCGTTGTTCTGACTCCGGCTGAAGTGCCACAGACCCCCGAGAACCGACTTCGAGCAGTTAGGCCCAACTATGCAACGGTGTGCCAGTTGCGGGAGCACCTCTGCAATGCAAAGAAACATCAGCGGCGCGCCGGTTTAAGGCTGCGCCTTCGTAGCCTTTGCCCTTGCCCATGTCGTCTTTGCCCTTGCCCTTGCCATCTTTGCCCTTGCCCTTGTCCATGGGAGGTTCTGCGCGGAAACAGGGCTGCAGGACCGTGACAACTTCGGAGCGATGATGATGAGATGAAGCAGGAGGATGAGGAGAAGGAGGCGGGGGAGCGAGACAATGGTGATGATGCTGATGGGGCCTTGATGATCACGATCATGAAGAAGAAGATGATGGTGAGGATGGCTCAGTGATGACGATAACAGAGAGACGATGGCGACGGCGATGATGTGGTAGTGACAACGACGATGGCCATGGAAATGGCAATCATATCGGTGACTGTGCTACATAAGGCAAGGTCATGCCGGATGCCCTGGCCCTGACTCGCCTCCCGAGTCTCAGCATTGCGCATTGACAGTCGAATGCAGTTCCGGTTTAGTGTTTAGGGCTTAGGGTTTAGGGTTTAGGAGAGTCAGGCCCACGGGACACTTGGATCTCGTCTGAAGCATGCATGAGCTGCAAAACAACGTCCATTGAGATGGGAATGGAGCTCAAGAACCAGCAGTGGCTGCGAAAAGCCAGGGCCATATAGAAACCCTGTATAAAGCCACTTCAGAAACCAAGCTACTATAGGGGCCGAAATGACTGCCACTACTATTCTGGGGTTCCTTATTATAACTTTAGTATACTATTCCCCAAAACCCTATTCTCATTATCAAGGCCACTCTACCATATGGGGGTTTCCGAAAATAGGGGACCCTAATATAGTACTTAAATAGTAGGATCCTTATTATAAGGACCCCTAATTAAGGCACCCCTTATTTTCGGAAACTCCCATGTTTCGATGTTTCGGGCCATGTTCCCGCTGTTCCCGAGGCCCAATCGTGCATTTTTCCCCTCGCAGCTGTGTGTTGAGTGAGAGCTGCTGGCCGGAAGGAGCATTGGGTTTAGGGTTTAGGGTTTAGGGTTTAGGGTTTAGGGTTTAGGGTTTAGGGTTCAGGGTTTAGGGTTTAGGGTTTAGGGTTCGCGGAAGGAAGTGCGGTGGTTTAGGGTGTAGAGGTGTAGGATCTGGGGGGTTCGCAGAAGGACTACCCCTGTATACTTTCACCGACCCCAACCGGTTTTGTTGTATCCAGATTCTAGATCCGGGTATTTCATTCGGACCCTGCCAAAAAGGGTTATATCCTAGTGGGCCAAGGCAGGCTCATGATTCGCTCACGCTGCGTGGACTCGTTGCTGCAGAAGGCCTGCAGCAGGCAACACAAACGTGTTGCAGAGAAGATCATCTCAGTCAAGCGGCTTCTGCAGTATTGCACTGTAGGGGCCACCGTGTTTAGGGTTTAGGGGTTTAGGGTTTTGTGTTTGGGGGGACATTGCAGTTAGTTTCGAAAGTTTTGAATCGCATCAATCCCGAATCAATCAGCGCAATCCCTACCCTGCGAGCTCACGCGCCAAAGCCTTCCGATTTGGAGGTTCATGGGTACTTATAAGTGGAGTTATAAGTTCCCCTAATGTAGGTTATAACTGTAGTGACCCTCCTTTTAACCCTACTTATAACTACCAAGAACCCAGCTAAAGTTACTAATTGCCCCTGCAATACTGCAGGACCCAGTGAAACATAGCTCGGATGTGCCCCACATGTAAGGCGCCTGCAATCTCTGTTTGCTCGTGCGGAGCTAGAGACAGCCAGAAGCGACTGCACAGATAGAGGGGCACCGGGTAACCCTCCACGGGGCTTTCATCCTGGGTTGCATTGAGCTCCAATCCCTACACCCTTTAGAACCCTAACCCCTATAAGCCCTAAACCCTAAACCCTATAAGCTCCAATCCCGACACCCTTTAGAAACCCTAACCCTTATAAGCCCTAAACCCTAACCCTCAGAAGTTGTTGCAGAGTTTCAGAAAGAGTTCTTCGACTAGAGGCTTTGCGGGTTGGGGTTCGCTGTCCAACCCTAAACCCCAAAACCCCTAAACCCTAAACCCTTAAACGAACCCTAAAAGGTCATTGCCGAATTCCTCTATCATCGAGGCAAAGGTTACGGGGTTACGATTCGGAGTTGGGCTTAAGGTATGTTAGGGTTTAGAGTTTAGGGTTCATATACGGTATATGGGCCTAGTATATGGGTAGTTTTCTAAATTAGGCTCCCTTTTAGGGTCCTTCTTATAAGAGTGCCGTATTATATTGGGGACCTAAAGAGGGACCCTACTTTGGAAAACTACCCATATATGTGTTGGTGTGACAAAGGAACCTTCCTGGAGGATGCAGTCATCAGGTGTCTTCAGCAGTCGAGAGGTCGTCAGGGTGTAGATAGTCCCTAGTCTTTCCACAAAGTTCCCCAGTACCCAACCTTTAAACATTTTTGGGTTCTTATAATTTAGTAGTAATCTGAAAGTTTAACCTGTCATTTCCCTGGGTTATTGGGGCAGTAAGCAAATCCAAACGTCTCAAAGTTAGCATACTGAAGCCCGGGAGCCATTCTGCGTCTGAGTGCTGCTAGTACTTGTCTAAGTACCATGTTTATGTTCATCATCGTCGTCAAATTGCTGGTAGGCGGTTGCTGCTGTAGCTGTCTGACCCTGAACCCTAAACCCTAAACCCTAAACCCTAATCCAGCTACATGAGAAACCTGAACCTTGAAGCCCACCGTATGCCTCAAAAGCAGAAATAAACCGTCAGCTCAAAAGGCAACAGATGTAGAGAGTGTAAAGGATTAGGGGATGCAGCATACTTTTCTTTGAGGGGCCTTCTGAGTTGTAGGATTCTGATGCGAGAAAGCCACGAAACTCGAGCTTTCAAGGGTTTAGGGTTTAGGATTCAGGGTTTAGGGGTTAAGCTTCAAGCACTGAGGACAAACAACTCTAAGTATCTCAGCAAGTTGCTGCAGTGTGCTCTCTTTGGAGTTTCAGCGGAGAGGACTTGAACATGCATGCAGCATTGCATGCATGGTCATGATATGGGTAGTTCTCTAGATTAGGGTTGCTTCGGTCCCCAAACTAGTAGGGCACCCCTAGAAGTTTGACCCCCCACCTAAACCCTAAGCACTAAACCCCCCAAAAGGGAGCCTAATTTAGAGAACTACCCTTTATACCTGACTATGACAGATGGGCCTTCGGGGATCCTTTTGGTTTCTCCCTTGTCGGGCCGAATTATATGAGAGGATCTTAACGGTTTAGGGTTTAGGGGTTTGGGATTTTGGCGTTTCGGGGTTTAGGGGTGTAGGGTTTAGGAGTGTAGGAGTTTAGGGTTTAGGGTTTAGGCTTTAGGAGTTTAGTGGTTTAGGGGTTTAGGGTTTTAGGGTTTAGGGTTCAAACATTTTGTGAGGCCTTCAAGGTTCAACCGAGTCTACGGTCAGAGACTTCGGGTAAAGCTTCAGCTTGCCTCGCGCATGCCATCTTCGCTCTGGCTGAAATTCGTGAACAGACTTGTGGGAGTTTCAGAAAATAGGGGACCCTAATATAGTACCTTAAATAGTAGGATCCTTATTATAAGGACCCCAAAATAAGGTACCCCTAATTTTCGGAAACTCCCTTGTAGCATCGATTCAGGCCCCGCAGGTTGTTGACTAACGACCGCCTCAGAAGCCACTGCTTCCTTGTGTGCGATCAGTAGCCAGCGATGTGTGAATTCTGCTGGGCAGCTCAGGGTTTAGGGTTTAGGGTTTAGGGTTTAGGGTGAGCAGCTCAGGAATGCATCTTAAATGACGCTTGTTCGGCGGTTGCAACGCAAGCAGCTAGATCCAACTCTTACATAGAGTCTGTTTCGGCCTGGTTGCAACAAACAGGAAGTAGCAAGACAGGCGCGGGGAGTATAACTTCGGGTGCTGCAAAAATCGTGCCTCCACGTCTCACCTCGAGGCCACTCGTTTCAGATGGAGCTCCCACATGTCGTCTGGGTCCAGACCCCTTGTGCTTCGGGTCGGTCCATGAACAACAGGTGATGTGAGGATTTCGCGTTGGCATGCTTCAAAAGAAGCATAGAAGGTACCTGTAAAGCCAGATAAACTGTAAGAGTAATGTGGGTAGTTCCCTAGATTCGGGTCCCTGCTTAAGTCCCCAACATAGTACGGCACCCTTAAGAATAAGGACCCCAACCCTAAACCCTAAACACTAAGGACCC